TCCACAATACAAAGAATTATCACGTACACCCAACAAAACACTAAATTAAAATATTTTCCTAAATACTCAGAACCATATCCTCTTACAACCACCCTCTGCATGGTTTACAATGCAGCTATTTTCCCCCTAGAACAAAGTTATTTCCTATTCACAAAGTCTTTAAGCTTGGAACTCTTCAATGAGGCCACCTAATTAAGGGAACAATGTACAGACAGAATGATGCTAGCCTGTAAAAGCAGTAGCTTCTGTGATAACGTAATACCTGAAATGTTACTGAAGACACCCAGACAGCAAGTGAAGGTGAAAGAAAATGTGGAAGAAGCCATCTATACAACACTAACCTGTTTTATTTTTCTTCATAAGAATTAGGTTTTGTTTTTTTATCTGTTTACTATCTACAATTCATATTAAAATGTAGGCCAATAAGAGAACCTTTTTATCCACGGAGCTAAAAGGATACCTGACATATACCAGTCTCCCAATAAATATTTATCAAATGAATGAATATACCATATACAATGAACTCTATACCAAAAAATTTCAAACAACAGAGTATAAGTGCAGGCAACACTCTCTGATCACAGAATGAATAGAATATACTGTGTCAGAATCAGTAAAAAAAAAAAAAAAAAAAAAAAAAAAAAAAAAAAAAAAAAAAAAAAAAAAAAAAAAAAAAAAATTGCCATCTATCAGACTCTATGGGACACAGTTACAGCAATTCTTAAAAGAAACTCCAAAATTCTGATGAATCACTAAATTCTATTCTTGAAATCATTATTATACTGTATGTTAACTAACTTGGATTTAAATTAAAGAAAGAAAAGAGCAATTAGGAATCACAACAAGAAAAGAAATTCCAAAATGCTACTTATATTATACTTATAAGTAAGAAAAACAAACTGAGTAACCAAATTAAAATGTTAGATTTTTTCAAAAATAGATACATAAGTGTCTATGAAAATGTAAAATATATCTGCCCTATGACCCAGAAATTCCACTGTTGACAGTCTATCACATAGAAAGCAAAGTACTATTTCACAATGACATTATATACTCAGATTTATTACGACAAAACTTTGTACTGGAAACAAAGTGAATATTCATCAACAGATGAACAACTAATTATTTGGTATGTCCACAAGATGGAATAGAACTCAGCCATTAAAAAGATTCAAATAAAAGTTAAACCAAATAACCTGGAGGGATTTCCACAAGCCACTGAATGAGAAACACAACTTAGAGAAGAGTATGTATAATATGATCTCATTAACAACAAATACCCCAAATGTTTGTGAATATAGAGAAAAATACAGAACATACACCAAACTGTTAACATGACTGTGGGAAACGAGGAGTCCCATATATGATATCCTATTTCATTTATGTAAAATTATATACACATGCAGGAAAATAATAAAGTGCTAAAAAAGACAAGAAGGGAAAATAAAGATAGAAACATACCATTATTTTAAAAACTGAACACAATGTAACTAAAAATCAACCTGAGAACTGTTTCTTTAGAGTGAATATAAGCCATGAGCTAATCTAATCAAAAGAGTTTTTCTTACACTTTTGCTTTTCATATTTAGGACTTCATTACACCAGATATTTTGACACACCAGGTTTTCAATTTCACTTTTTCTCCCCCAAATGATGGCAGCTTGACCCAGCACTGCATTCCTTCCCCATTTGATTTGAAGTGCCACTGTTGCTATATCCCAAATTCCTAGATATACTCTAGGTTTGTTTCTAGACTCCCTATTCTATTTCACAGCTTACAATACTACAGGTTGAGAAGTTATTTTAGTATATTGAGTCTTCACATCTTTTTCAAGGCTATTTTTGCCATTTGGCCCTTTACTCCATGGTAATTTTAGAAACAACTTGCCAACTTCCATGGGAAAAAAATCTAGAATTTGGAATGGAACCAAACTAAAGGAACACCTGAATTTGAGAACTGGTATGTTCGTGATACAGTCTCTTCCCAACCACGGATGTCACACACATGTTGTGCCCTTTTTTTTTAACGTTTATTTATTTTTTGAGACAGCATGAGCAGGGGAGGCGTGGGAAGGTGCGGGGGCAGGCAGAGAATCCCAAGTAGGATCCTTGGTGTGTGTCCTTCAGAAATGACGTGCCATTTCAACTACATAGGTCTCACACAATTTTGTTAGATTTACTCCTATCACTCCTTATAGTTTTTACGCCACAGCAAATATTTTTAAATTACATTTTCTAACTTATGCTAACAGCTATTAAACTAAACTTTGCTAATTTCCTAATAGTTCTAATAGTGATGGACTCTCTTGGATTTTCTACATAGATAATTTATCATCTGTAAAAAGTTTTCATTCTAACCCTTATAATTTTTATATATTTTTCTTGTCTAACTGTAGAGGCTGAGGCCTCCATTACCATGATAAATAGAAGCAGTGATAACAGGCATCTTTGCTTCATTCTCATTTTAAAGCAAATGCTTCTAACTTTATCATTCAGTACAAATCCCCATTTATTAGATAAAGGAAATTCTCTTCCACTCGTAGGTAAAAGTCTTTATTATTACTGTGTTAAGTTTAACACAGTAATTAAATTTTATTAAAGTATCAAGACACCTGGGTGGCTCAGTCGGTTAAGTCATCTGACTCTTGCTTTCCACTCAGGTCATGATCTCATGGTTCACGGGATCAAGCCCTGAGTGAGGTTCCACACTGACCTGACCTGACCTGAGCATGGAGCCTGCTTGGGATTGATTCATTCTCTCTCTCTCTCTCTCTCTCTCTCTCTCTCTCTCTCTCTCTCAAAATAAACTTAAAAAAAAAAAAAAAGTATTTTTCAGCATCTATTTTCTCTATTATTTCTTTTAAGAGAGGCAGTCCGCCATGGGTTCAGACCATCCCTGCACATCCCTACCGTGTACTCCAAATTGCAAGACCTAACCATCTGCTGACACTGAACAGTTTCTATAACTGGTCATACAATGAAATACGTCAAGGTGACCACAGCATAACCACCGCGAGACTACTCACTCTCAGTGAAAGAAGGCTGGCTTGCTTGCTTCCTGTTTACTACAAAAAAGTAGCAAGCTCTTGACACTGTGTTCCTCAGCTGCAGTGCATCCCATTTTATGCACAACCACCATCTCTGCCCACCACATCACTCTATGGGACTTGACGGCAGGGAACCAGCACTACCATGCCAATGCCCCTGATGACTGCTGGGCCGTGAGCAAGAAACCGCCTTGCTCTAATCCACTGAATCCTGTTGTCTACTTCTGGCACCTAGAGTCATAGCAGTTGATGCCTTTCCATTCTCCATAGGTTATTCTCTGACAGTTCACAAGAAATCTTTAAAAAGCTCCTTTTAGAACTTCTACTACTTCCTTTGTGAAGTTATTAAAAACAACAACAAAAAAACTTGACTGAATCTGTCCATCTTTTTTTTTCTAACTATTCTATCAGATGTCTCTATAATTAACCAAGGCTAACAACAACTGAGGTCCTTCCAAAATGTGTCTTTCCAATAGAAATTTACTTATCAAAATAAAGCAACTAAGAAAATGCCTTATAGTAAAAGAAATTCTGGGGGCACCTGGGTGGCTGAGTCAATTAAGTGTCTGACTTGTGAATTTGGCTCAGGTCATGATCTCATAGTTCATGGAATCAAGCCCTGCATTGGGTTCTATGCTGACAGTACAGAGCCTGCCTGGGATTCTCTCTCCCTCTCTCTCTGCCCCTCCCCTGTTCATGCTCTCTCTCTCTCAAAAATAAATATTTAAAA